ATATATGATCTTGACACAACTCATGAAATTTGGTAACAGCTGTTGAAAGAATGAAAAAGGCATTGATGTCTTTATATCAAAGCTTTGGTTATCCTTTCATTTCTGATAATACTCACACATTTGCACGCCTATGAACATACTCGAGCGCAAATGTTCGCGCATTCATATCTATACCTGTTTGCACCCACACGACGAACGCACACATAGAGAAAGCTTCAATTCAGGGATGCCCTTGTACGGCCCACACCGCAATGTAGTTCAATAATCCTAACCATTTCCTTAAGCCTACCCCAAAAAATTATCAATGCAAAAAAAATCTCTCAAATGCAAAACCATTCTCAATCAAATGGTTGTCGTTTCATTGCCTTCTTGAAATGTTTTTTTCCTACAATTAGATGTCTTAATGGTTCTTCTTTTGTCTAAACTTTTGGCAATGACAATTTGTGAATGAAGGATTAAATGACGGTTTAAATTATTGAAACAAAATTAGGAGTGGACCCGACAAAGTGTCCCTCGTATGATGTTATCTGACGTACCATTTGGTACGTGGGATGGGACGGAACAGAGTGGGACAAGGCGTTCCGTCCACGTTTGGTGCGCCTAAAACGGGTGGAACGAGCTGTTCCACGGGACGAGTTTTGGGTGAATTTTCGTTCCACCTCACTCCCCTGCTCCGTTCCGTCCAGTCCCGTCCCATTCCGTTATGACCCGTCCCGTCTGCATACCAAACGATACCTGAGGGATCCCTCGATAGAAGCGGACTTGAACTGATCAATATGTACCAATTTGCCTTCAACTGCTTGCAGTTAATCATGCAACGATGTGAAGCTTCTTTGTGTAGAAAGAGGTAGAAGCTCAATAAGGATGTCGAAACTGTACAGGAAAGAATATGGAAAGAATAATTACTAGGGGTGGGCACGGTGCGGTTTGGTGCGGTTCCACCCCTAAACTGAAACCGGAACCGAAATATATTAACGGTTCGATTCGGTGCGGTTCCACTTAAATTTATTACTAGAACATTACGGTTCGGTCTACACCGCTTCCGATCCGGTTCTTGCCGGTTTACGGTTCCTAATAATAAATTATTTGAACACCAAATCATTATGCATTCAAATACATCTTCTAAAACTGATTACATAAAGTTGCATACAACACATCTTTTTTAATGCAAATGTCTTTGGTAGTGACACCAAGTCAACAAAAAAAGACAACTAAAATACATATGCACTGGTCAATCAGTCGCAGTCAACAAACAAAAAAATGATGAAGCAAATTGCAGGTTTTCAGACTTCAAACTTCAGAGAGCAAGCAGGAAGCAGCAGCTCCTGTACACAATCAATTAATCAAACAACATATAATCGAATCACACAACTTATTCCAGAGAGCAAATTTCAACTTGCTGCCACATATTTAAACAGAATATGCTGACAAATTTCAACTTGCTGCCACACACAAATTTAAACAAAATCTTATGCATTTTGACTGCCATATGCAGGTTTAAAATATGCATTTTGACTGCCTCTGCATGAAATCCAGAACCCCATCTAGTTTGATCCACATTAACCGAACCAATAACAGCAAAAAGCGGGAACAAGTACGCCAAGCAAGTAAAGATCACCGCCATGAAAAGAGCCACCGGAAAAGTTTTTTGGGGGTTATCTACTTCCCGAGCTAAAGTACTCACATTGTCCCAAAAATTTAAATTCCAAAAGAGGGTGTTGAAGAACAAGTTCCAATCTTTCTCCACACCCTTCCGCCCGAGACTCAACCAACGGTGAGGATGAATCTTCGGAATGGTAATCAAACACATCAAAATAAAAGGCGAAGGGGAAGCGACAGCGAGAAGAACAGCAACATATCCAACAATAGTTAAACCAGTATAGTTTACGAAAGATAGAATCAGAGTAGAAACAGAGATTGCAACTTGCTGCCACACACAAATTTCAACTTACTGCCACACACAAATTTAAACAAAATCTTATGCATTTTGACTGCCATCTGCAGGTTTAAAATATGCATTTTGACTGCCACTGATTGAAAGAGTAAATTATAAATTCCACTAACTATCAATAGATTCAATACTAACAAAAGGGAAAATATAAAAGTGAAAGATTAAGGAGAAAAGGTGACAAGGAAGGTGCTAAAAAAATTAAAGTTACATACATACCATCACTAGTAAAAGGTGATAAGTTAGGATTGAATAGTTTATGAATCCGCAATGCTATTGCTAGATGTGCCACCATTCCTTTTTTCTAGAACATATAAAAATTAAGAACTCATTAGAAAATAAGAAAGTAAGCATGCAATAATACAAGAGAAAAAACAAAAACAAAGTAATGAAAAATAAATATTCATACCTGTTTCAAGTGCTTCATAAAACTCTATATCTTCCAAGATTGTCTCATCGTCTAAAATTGAGATGTTATTTGACATCAACCAATTTTGAGTACAAATTAACCTCTCTACCATTAGAGGAGTCAATGAAGAACGATATGAGTTCACAATCCTTCCTCCCGTGCTAAAGGCAGATTCTGAAGCTACCGTTGAGACCGGAATTGCAAGAACTTCCTTTGCAATTAGTGTCAACACTGGGTATTTAACACCATTCAATTTCCACCAATTTAAAATATCAAAATCTTGACCTACTTCCACTTTTTCATTGCGATCTAACAAGTACCTATCAAACTCATGGTTCGAGAACACGGCATTACTTGCTTCAACTTCTTTTATCCAATTTTCATCCATTTCAGCTCGTTTTTTCCCCCTTCCATGTTGAGTTGGATTAGCCCCACCAATAGTAGCTATAGTACTAGTAGTATTAGAACAACTACTAGCACTAGAACCACTTGGTTGGTTGGAAGAAGGAACATATTCATCATATAGTTTGAAGATTAGGCTTTTTATCTCATCCTTTTTAGCCATGGCTTCATCAATACTACACCCACGACGCTTCAAAATATGTGGCACATAACCCAGTTTATATCTTGGATCAAGCACAAGTCCGACAAATAGAAAAGGATTCACTTTAACAAGATCACCCCAATACTTATCAAATTTTACCTTCATGCTTCGTGCCATTTCATGCAATATCAAGCTTGTGTAGGTTTGAGTCAATAACACATCTTCTTCGATGAACAAATCAACTATCTCTTCATCAATTGCAAGCAAATCAGAAAAAGTAATATGACAAGCCGGATGCAAAGTAACACTCATCTTCAATGTCATTTGATAGAACACTTTCAAAAAATTCACAAAAATAGCAGCATTACTCCAATCTTCCATATTTGGTGGCCCATACCTCTTTTTACCATTGGAAGGTTCACCCACCCGTTCTTCTTCTTCCGGCAAATCTTCACCAAACCATGACAAGTATGCAATCTCATCATCTCCCATTCTCACAAAAGCTTTTTCAAATTTCAAAGCATTCGTTAACATCAAATAGGTGGAATTCCACCTAGTTGGCACATCTAAAAAAACAAGACCCTTGCATTCAATTTTTTCCTTCTTAACACAACTCCTAAAAGCTTCCACCCTTTGTGGAGAAGACATTACATACACCAACGCATTCCTAATAGCTAAGATGGATTTATCTAACGTTCTCAAACCATCTTGAACTATCAAGTTAACAATATGAGCACAACACCTAACATGCATGTGTTTTCCCTTGAGTATCATTCGTGAATTTTGCCAATGACACATCTTTGTCTTCAAATACTCTACTGCCACCTTGTTTGAAGAAGCGTTATCGACCGTGATGGTTAGAACATTCTCCAAACCCCATTCTAGCAAACAAACCTCAAGAAGTTTTCTAATGGAGTTCCCTTTGTGATTAGCTATGACACAAAAGTTTAGTATTCTTTTGTGCAACTTCCAATTACTATCTATGAAATGTGTCGTTATTACCATGTAGTTTACCTTTTGAATACTTGTCCAGGTGTCGGTTGTGAGGCTAACTCTATGTAAGGCTAACTCTGTTTTCAATTTTGCTTTCATTTCATCAAACATGAGGACAAAGTGTCTCGCAAGTGTCCTACGAGATGGTGGATAAAAATGAGGGCAAACAACACTACAGAAAAACCTAAACCCTCTCCTTTCAACATGTGTAAACGGCAACTCATCTAAAACAACCATTTGTACCAACGCCTTTATGCAATCCTCTTTCGTATTCCCCCTAGCCATAAGAGTACCAACACCATCATCAAAAGACAAAGTCTTTTGCCTTTTATCTAGATTTTTTCCCGGGTAACTTTTACATCTTCCTCCCTCAATATGTTTTCTAATGGTTGAAGTACCATTTCCAGAAGGGTTAGCTGCAAAGGTAGTAGAACAGTACTTACACCTAGCTCTCCTTCTAATTATTGTTTCTTTGGTCCCATCCGGCTTCACAATGTTTTCTATGTCATCGTATTCCACAAAATGCTCCCACACCGTTGACCTACGCCTACTGTAGCCAAGAGGAGGCAATGGAGGAATAACACTCAGTTGAGTTGGTGATTGTGCTTGAGTTGGTGATAGTGGTGGAGTTGGTGGTTGGGATTGGGTTTCAATTGGTGGTGATGGTGTTGAACCCGATAATGACGAAGGCGATGATGAAGAAACAGATGCAACAGAAGAACAAAAACCATGTGATGTTGATTGGTTCGTCATCCCTAAAATAGACAAAAATAAAAATGCTACTGTTAAACTTAAACTTAAGCAATGCAGATGCTACTGTTGGACTTGGAAATTGTTTAAATTTCCAATATGCAGCACCTAACCTCAACCTTGACAAAAGAAATGAAGACTGATACAACATGCTAGACATATGGAGTTGTTGAATTATGAATGCACCTGACCGAAACCTAACCAACAAAAGTAAGGTCATACACTACACCTAATAACATAATTGATTAAAGCGTACAAGATCTTATTTGTTTGTAATTTGTATATATAATGCATCACACTCCATGAATGCACATGTTAATTTGTGTTAATTTAGATAATTGAGTGTTAAGAACAAATAGTTATGTGTTATGCATGAATGTAGTTGTCTATAGGCATTGTTGTGTTGTGTTACATGCAACAAGAGTGATGTGGGTGAACTTCAAACCTTACGCTTCTCTATCTGGTATTGACTACCCGGTGCAGGTCACGAACTGCTGTTGCTCTATTGGAAAGATTAAAAATTTTGCTGCAGGTACTTCTCTTATTTGCACTTACGGGAAATTTGGTGATGTACCATTTGATCCTTAGTCAATACTCTGTTTATGAAACCTTTATCACTGTAATTGAATGCATGTTAATCAATACTCTTTTTTTTTGGGGTACCGGGGTGGGTGGGGTTGACGAGGACCTAAGCATTTTATGTTAAGTCAAACTAAATTGGATTTGCATCTTCCATAAATGCAGGTTCAAAACCCTCATAGTATTAAATACAAAGGGACGATTCAGGGCTTGAAGTACATATGGAGGACTGAGGGTTTCAGAGGCTTGTTTAAAGGCAATGGAACTAATTGTGCTCGCATAGTCCCTAATTCAGCAGTCAAGTTCTTTAGCTACGAGGAAGCATCAAAGTATGCTTCTCCATGTCCCAGTTTCTCCAACACCCCCCCCCCCCACCCCCCACAATTTTTTAATATGTGTACTGATTTGTATTGGCAGTTATATTTCCTGTCAGCTGCATTCTGATAACTTTTTCACCTTTATGTACTTTGTCCAAATAGGGGTATTTTATGGCAGGTAATAGGCATGGATGCAAGTACACAATTGTGTTTCCATGAATTTAATTTACACATAGTGTAGTCTAATATCTGATTTCCTTAAGAAAAATTCATGGACCAGTCAATATTTAAAATTTAAATGATCATGTTGATTCAAAGCAATACTATTATCAGTTATGCGCATGAAAATTTTCTGCAGGGTTATTTCTCCTCATGATTCAATATGATTTACAGTTTAACTTCTCTTGTACGGTTAGTGTAATGATTTGAACTAATGTAAGGTTTTCTAGTTGGTAATCATATTGCATGTCAACCAGAATGGCATCACAACACTCTCTTCCAAATGCAAATGTAACATCGTCAGCAACCATTAGCTCATAGGATACGACAGGTTACACATTCACATGTGGGCATGTAATGTAAGAGAAAAAAAAATCTCTATAATGGGCTGCAATTTCACCCAGTATGAACCCAGAAACGCACATGACCTTTGCAATTTCACCAAGTATTTTAAGCATGTACAGAGTACAGTTAGATATGGATAGAGAAAATACCAAGGAGGGAGGACGGAGGACGAAGTGTCAGTGCCGTGAGCTGTCGCGAAGGAGGGATGATCAGGGCCGTCACAGTTGAGGATGAGAGGTCGTGAGTGGGGGTCGCCGGGGTCGACAACAATCAAATCACCTCCAAATTTGAGAACAATTCCCACATTACCTCACAATTCAAAATCCAAACTTCTCAACCAAAATTGAACTACGAATCCACCACAGAACCATAAAATTAACAAGCAGCAGAATTTTCCAATTCCAAACAAATTAAACTTATATGCCTATCCCTTTGAAAAGCTACAAACTTACCCAGGCTTCAGTGTATGTGGTTGCCACCGGCACTGGCACGGACACCACGGAGGGCTTTGGCAGACTCGGTCTCAGTATGACAATATCTGTGTGAAATCTAAAATGGGGGAATCAGGATTTAGGAATAGGAATGGGGGAAATCTGAAATGAGCGGCGTGCGTGAAGGTGAAGCCGTGAAGGTGTCTCCGTGTGTGTGTAAGTGAAAATGAACCCTAATTGGGATAGGATCCTCTGCTTTGCAATTTAATGAAACCAATTTTTTCAACTTATTATACCACGACATGTGTGTGTGTATATATAATTTATTTATTTATTATTATTAAAACGGTTCGGTTCGGTTCGATCGCTTCTTGGTCATTCGAAACCGGAACCGGAACCGGTTTGAACGGTTCGGTTCGGTTTTTCACTCAAAGTTGACTTTTCCGGTCAACACGGTTTTTTTCGGTTTTTTTTCTTACGGTTCGATGCGGTTTTGCGGTTTGGCGGTTTTTATGCCCACCCCTAATAATTACAAGCAATCTACAACCTAAACTAGGAAACCCAATATTATAGGAATCCTAGAATTAAAGGAAAATATTATACAAGTCAACACGCCCTCTCAAGTTGGTGCATATATGTCACACATGCCCAACTTGTCCAAGAAACTTGAGAACTTGTCACTAGAATTGGCCTTTGTGAGTATATCAGCCACTTGATCCTTGGTCCTAATCGAGGGCAATTCAATTACTTTTTTCTCCAATTTTTCTTTAATGAAGAACCTATCAACCTCCACATGCTTTGTCCTATCATATTGTACCGGATTATGAGCAATATCCCTAGTAGCTTTGGTGTCACAAAATAACTTCATCGGCGGACTATGGTTGACCCCCAAATCTTGTAATAGAAACTTAAGTCACAATAGTTCACAAATACCAAGAGCCATAAATCTATATTCTGCTTTTGCACTTGAACGAGCTACTACATTATGCTTTTTACTTCTCCATGTTACTAGATTACCACCAACAAAAGTGAAATATCCTGATGTTAAGCGTCGGTCATCTACCGAACCCACCCAGTCGGCATCGGTACACCCTTCGATTCTGAAATGCTCATTTTTCTTAAACAGAATTTCTTTACCTGTACTTCCCTTCAAGTAACACAATATCCTCATCACCGCACTCATATGTTGTTCTCCCGAATCATGCATATATTGACTAACTACGCTCAAGGCATGAGCAAGATCAGGCCTTGCATATGCCAAATACATCAATCTCTCAACTAACCTTTGATATCTTCCTTTGTCTACTGGTACTTGATTCTTGTCGAGGCTCAACTTCGTTCCTTCAGCCAACGGAGTTGCTACAAGTTTATAGGCTGACATTCCTGTCTCCTTTAACAAATCAATGATATACTTTCTTTGGGACAAGAATATCCCAGAGCTGCCTCTTGATACCTCAATCCCAAGAAAGTATTTTAGAGATCCAAGATCTTTCATTTCGAACTTCGTAGACAAATACTTCTTTAGAGCCGATTGTTCAATTGGGTCATTCCCGGTGACCATCATGTCATCCATATGTACAATGAGTGATGTAATCTTTTTATTCTTTCGTTTCAAGAACAAGGTGTGATCCCAATTGCTCTGGCTATACCCGAATGCCTTCATTGATTTAGTGAACCTGCTGAACCATGCCCTTGGTGACTTCTTTAACCCATATAGTAACTTCTTTAGCTTACATACCTTACCCTTGTTCATGTCTGTTTCGGTACATCCCTCTGGAAGCTCCATATAAATTTCTTCAAAATCTCCATGTAGGAATGCATTTTCAAACTGTTGAAGTGGCTAGTCTAGGTTTGCTGCCATGGACAAAAGAACTCGGATAGTATTGATCTTGGCTATTAGCACAAAGGTGTTCGTGTAATCTATGCCATACTTTTGAGTGTACCCCTTTGCCACTAGTCTTGCTTTGAAATCGATCAACTGTTCCATCTGCTTTGTATTTCTCTGTATAAACTCATTTGCATCACACAGGTTTCTTGCCCGCTAACAAGTCTGATAGTTCCCAGGTAACATTCTTCTTCAGCGATCTTAGTTCCTCATTCATTGCTTATTTCCATCTAGGATCAGCTAAAGCTTTCTGTACAATGTTAGGAATATATACAGTAGACAATTGATTCACATACGACTTATTTGATTCAGACATGTGACAAGTGGACACATAGTTGTTTAATGGGAACCTCACTCTTGAGTTATGGATTGGTTCGCTCACAGAATACTTAGTTTTACACTTAAGGTCTGCCTTATAAATGGGTTTAGGAATACCTCAATTAATTCTTTCCGGGAAAATACGGAGCGGTGGTCCATCTAGCGTAGGAGACGATTGGTTATAAGAATCACTAAGAGATGAGTCGGCATGTACCGTTTCTTTTACAACCGTAGGTTTCAACTGCAAGGGGGTCGAGGGGGCCATGTCTCCTACTATCTCGGACTCGGCAGGAAGCTGTTGTGCAACAACAACCTACTTGGAACTTGGCTGCTGTGCAGTCGACACGGGTTCAGTGGTAAGCTGATGTGCAGTGGCCTGCTACTCGGCGGCTGGCTAGTGCACCGTAGCTAGCTACCTGGTGACAAGTTGTTGTGCAATGGCCTACCGTTCAGTGATAGATGGCTGCATTGTAGCTTGCTACTCGGTTCCATAATCAAACATACGAACTTCATCACCTTGAAACTCCCCCTGAAGTGAGGACTTTGAGGAACCAAAATACATATCTGTTTCATGAAAAATGACATCTATAGTGATAAACATTTTCTTAGTTGAAGGGTGATAACACCGATATCTCTTTTGAGTAGTAGCATACCCTATAAACACACATCGAAGAGCTCGAGGTTCAAATTTGTTTTGACGCTGTGAAGGTGTTGACCCTAAAAAACTACCAAGCCTACGTGGCGCGCAGGCCGAGTAACTAATGAGCTAATTACGTCATACGGTTATGTGCAGGCGTGCCAACTCCATGGCCGAGGTCGATCGAGGAGTAAAATATGCTGATGTCGCGTTGAGCACGCTGCTGACTGATCTTGCGACTGCGGCTGAGGAAGGAACACGTCTCGACCTTCGGGTTCTAGAACCTGAAGATAAGGCTGCTAGTTCTGCAAAGTTTAAATATCAAATTCGGCTTTCAATGTACTGAATGCAATAACCTGTAACACCTCACTTCGCTGAGAAGGCTAATGAGATGACCTCTACCAACAAGGGCTCGAAAATCCTTGTCAACTGAGACTTGGATAAATAACCAGTCAGTCTCGAAGCAATGCTGTTTATCCAAACTAAAGGTACTCCTTGATCGGCTGATTATATGGCTCCAACGCTGTTTATCCAAACTGAAGATGTCGCCAGTTGCCTTCACAGTGTTGTTTATCCAAATTGAAGATGTATTGGCAGAAAAAGAAAATAAAAATCTCAAGGTGTTTGAGAAGTTTATGCAAGGCAATTTGTGTGTTGAATTGGAAGGGGCCTTAAATGTTGCCTGCAACTTTGTATTTATAGCATCCATACTTTTTGCTTGGCACGACCTAATAACTTCGTAGAAACCTGCTGAAACTTAAACTCGTAGAATGAAAGACTGATCCGTGGCATAGGCTAAACCCTATCTTCCAGATGGTTGACTTTTCAAACAAAATAAAAACCTATCTAGGCTTATCATATCACATCAACAGCTTAGCCCACCTAGGCTTTTTACCTCATCATCAAAACTCCATCAGTAGCCTTTATCCCATGCATACGTAATAAAATGGAATATAATCCCATCGTTGATGTTTTATCTATAGTACATTTATCAAATCCATCCAATATAATCTCTGACTGATGCATTCCACATGGCCAACATAAAAAAGAATATACCATTTGTACTTATATGATAATCATCTCATCCTGCATGCTTCATTACCTGATGTCGCGCATATCCCTACGTTCCATCATCATTCAAATGGGATTTAGAAAACTATTAGGTTTAAATAATTTAATATATTACTAAAAGATAATGTCATGATTAAAATCACAATATTATTTCTCAATAATAACTAAAAATCATTTCAACCACTTTGTCATTCAACGGCCTAAATTTCTACTTATTCAACAGCCTCGATTACTCAGGTCGATGGTGTAATTTTGGGTCCAAACAGAAGGAT